CTGGAGTGCCCTGTCTGTTCGCACCAGTTTAGTAGGGTACAACTCTCACTGTGTGGCAGATAGGCAATAATGGCACCGCTGAATGACCCTGAATCGTCTTGTGGTTAGAAGGTTGGCGGACCGTTCAAACAATATATGAAACCTGTTGGAATGAGTAGAGGTCGAAATTGACAGCCTAGCCCTATTGTGAGTAACTTTCAAGTGAAAATCACAGATACACAAACCAATCGTTCCCAGACTTGAAGTTCTGTTCCGTCTAACATACCTCGGTAGCCAGACCTCCTCTGAAAGACAAGCAAAGCGGCAATACTTCGTTTTCTGCTTCCAATGGCGTAGTCTTTGTTGTTGTCTATTCTTATTCCGCACAACTTCGTCAGATCGTGTGCATCCTCTGTGCTTTGGAAGCACCAGATCTGAAGTGAGCGAAGTTTTTCTGTATTACAGAGTCCAATTCTTTCGCCGATTTGATTTACGATGCACCGACCCATTTGATAGGCCGTTGAAAATATCGAGCCAATGGCGTAGTCTTTGTTGTTGTCTATTCTTATTCCGCACAACTTCGTCAGATCGTGTGCATCCTCTGTGCTTTGGAAGCACCAGATCTGAAGTGAGCGAAGTTTTTCTGTATTACAGAGTCCAATTCTTTCGCCGATTTGATTTACGATGCACCGACCCATTTGATAGGCAGTTGAAAATATCGAGCAATCGTTCAGCTGTAACACCGTTTCGGTGCCTAACTGCCATGCCACCCGAGGGAAGCGCGAGGGCTAGGATACTGTCATGTTGCCCAAGCCGAAACAGGCGAAGTCGAAGGCAGAGATCGGGTTCGAAACACGGACCTTCTGGTCGGTAAATTCACGCCTGTGGCAGTATCTTGTAAGGTGTCTGGCCAAACCCCGAATGGGCTATCGGAGTTTTCTTTTCTGTCAAGTCAAACGTTGTAGCGACGGTGTTACTGTCCTCAAAAAAGAGCGCAGCGATGATTCGCTGCTTTCGATTTACAGCAGTAGCCACCAGTTCTCAGACGTTTGGAACCGCAGCAGTCAAGGCACGGCGATCTGAAGTGAATTCTACATATGCACTGAACAATTCATTGGTTCACCGAAGAACAAAGTGACGTGGTGGGAATTAAGCCTTCCAATGTCGATTTTTATTGAACTGATCATCATCATCATCATTGTCAGCTGTAATAACCGCGTACTCGTCGTAGTGGTTGTAGCTACCGCAGTTTCGTTCACCGATGATTATTTGGAAAGATGGGGTAGGTAGCTGCGCATTGCAGGCGGGAGATGATAAACTGATGCATAAATCCAGCACTGTCAGTGGGCTGTCAAGTGGTGAGGGGGTTGGAAAAGGAGCTATGAATTGAAGGCAAAAGCTTGGATGCACGACCGCCATTGAGGGCGCGACTGGGCCATATCTGACAATGTCTCTAGCCATTGATGTGGCCCGTCTCGGGGTCCCCATCCAGGAAGACGACCATGACCAGCGCAGCTGAGTTTGCTGCTAATGGCTTTCATACTTCGCTACCAAGTCATTGTTTGACCGCCTCTGGCTCTCTTCCACCCTTCAAGTGGTTGAGCGAAAAGAGCCCTTCGAGGAAGTCAGTCGACTGGCATACGCAATACGTGGCCAAGACAGCGCAACCCATGCAGTGTGATCAGTTCATCTATCGAGGGTGAGTTACTTCTCCCGAATACCATTCGACGTACTTCAGAATTGCTGATGCGGTGTTCCCACCAGGTTCGGGCAACAGATCGATATTGGTTTGCTGTGCTCAGCTTTGCTATATTGCAAAGTGTTTACACACTACTTCATCGAAGAGAAAACGATCAGCCTTCGTGATTACCAGTGATCGGGAAATCCTTACAATCCAGAAAACCCACCTCTTAGAATGCAAGCCCTACATGAGAACCGAATGGATGGCAGTTTGGTTCACACTGACATTCCCCAGTCGGGAGAAAGCAATTTCGGCCCGGTCAATGTAGAGGTCGACTTCTTCGAAAGCTAGAACTTCGGTACGCACATTCGTGCCAAAGAATTATTCAACTGATTTGGACAATAGCTTACGAAATGAATAGGTACGCGACGGGGGGAATTTCGCCCTCGCGAAGTTCACTACCAGCACAAGTTGAAGGTGAAATAAAGGCTATCAGCGTCCGTAGGCTGTTGCAGTTTTATCCAAACACAACTGCTTCGTCAGCACAATAGAGATATTCCATTTAGAAGTTCCGGCCAACTTTAGCGCTTGGATAATTACTTGGGGCTTGATGTGTGTTCCAATATGTGGCAGCGGTGAAGATAGTGAGTATCCTTACCGAATCTCCGCGTACACTCAATTACGAACCCCGTTCTGAACCTACCATAGCCGTATTAGATTGACCTGAATTGACTTGGCAGAATACAGTATTCCAGCACATTCTTTCACATAGACGCTCAGGCCACAGAATCGAAGGCAACTCGAAAGTTCATTAAAGGGACAACTGTGGGGCAAGAATAATTGGAACCATGTTGTAGGACGCACCGCAAAACTAGTTTTCCGTCAACAAAGCCTCGTTCTGGATGGAAACCGGCATGACTCAGCCAAGTTCTGAGGAGGGGTGCTTAAGAAGAAGAACTGGGAAGACTTCTTCCGTCACACCAATGGGGAACATTGCAGTCAATTGCCTGGACTTGTGAATCTCAATGCGTTGTCTCCCTACTATGAAAAAACGCCAATCAACAGATAATCATAAAAACGTCGGTCCAGAAAAAATAAACTTGCCAAGTGGGTTTCTTCGACCTATCCGCTGGAGGAACAGGAGTAAGGCGATGGATTGGGGAAGGAACTACTGAGTTGGAAGACTTGGAGGTTGCTGAAATGTTATTGTTGTTCTTGTTTACATGCTCGTTTTTCTTGCTGTCAGACTTCGCAATCAGGTCTTGGTAGATTGCCGGATCGACTTTGATTGCCTCCAGCTGAATCCATAAAGATAACTGACCACGTCGTCGGTGCTCGAACAAGGAACGTTCACCTGAGGGCGCAATAATGTCACATAATGTAATACGTAACGTGAAAAAGAATTCAGTAATACAAACAGACGGCGGGAAGCCAGTGAATTTTTTGGGCACGCCATTTCAAGATGCTCCAAGTTATGCTGGTGAATGTAAAATAAGAACATCTTTGTAATGTACTACTCATAAGACTGCTGAAAATCCGTCGACAGTCCACGACCAGTTTCGCCCTTCTTGGGGCTCAACAGGTAGGCGCAGTAGTACATTACAAAGATGTACATGTATCGCGATACCTCAAATATCGTAGCGACTGAAACATGAGGCGGCCTGGTGCAGCACATTCAGTTGTCTGAGAACATCACAAACGAGGGATTCAGCTGGGTTCCAGGTGAGTCTCTCGAAAAACCAAATTAGTTTGCAAATGAGTTTATATTCGGTAAAAAAAGTGGTTTAGCTGTAACACCTTTTCGGCGCCTAGCTGCTATGTTACCCGAAGGAAGCGTGAGGGCTGGGATACTGTCATGTTGGCCAAACCCAGACAGGAGCAGTCAAGATGCAGAGGTCGGGTTCGAACCACGGATATTCCGGTCAGTAAATTTGCGCTCCAACCAACAGCTGTACGCACGTATGTAGATTTCGAGATAACTGCTAGATTTGACGTGTATAATAAAACATCAGCCAAAAAATGCAAGCTACTGAATGACGGAATTGAGTCTGCCTGATCAGAAGCAATAAACTGATTTTCACATGGCATATAAACCACCGTCACACCAACTCATTCCGGTACAGAAGCAACTGTTGTTCCGTACATGGTGCACACTGAATGATATCAATAACGACTTAATGCAGACATGCCCAAGGTTGCTCAGTGGCTAAGGAGCAAACTTACTGATCAGAAGGTCCGTAGTTCGAACCCTACCTCTACATCTCGATTGGTCCCGCCTAGTCTTGGGAAACTTGGCAGTATCTCGTCCCTCATGCTTTTTTCGGGTGACATGCAACCTATTTACTGAAAGGATGTTGCAGCTGGACAATTATTACTATTTATTACAACCCAATAAGAACCTGGCCGCAATTGAAATTTCGCGTGTCGCTTTGTCCATTGAACGCCCCTTAGGGCAACACTTTTGAATGATTCCTTGAGTTTTTTCTAAATTTTCGGCCTATTGAAAGATCACTTTTCAACTCAAAGCAAGAACCAGCCCCTGAAGTAAAATGTCACTGTCCTGCAGGAGAGATTGGTCATTCACCACTTGACTGGCTGATTTGCAGTCGGGCCCTCTAGTACTTCAAGGTTCTAAAGAATGTCGGCAAAAGAACGAGGGTAAAACGTTGTGTTTACTCCTGTGGATGAGGTTGTCTGATATGTAGTCACATGTGCTGCACGGATATGAAATATGGATTCGATCCATCGGGAAACATGTTTGGAACCCTGCTGCCTTCAACCTCATCTGGGAATACTGGTGTAAAACACCCTAATCATTTGTTCCTGAGAAATCTTCGACAACCCGCGCTTGGTTTCGTCCCTCTTAGATGGACTTCACCAAGTCCTCAGGTTGGAGGCGACTTTAAGTTCTACCTGAACATCGAATGGTACGGCGTGGGCGGAATATACTTATTGGTAAATTGTTGATGTTAACGGGAGACTCAAGTGAATCTCAGCTGAATCAGATCTAATCAACTAGTGTGAAACCTGGCGCTACGTAGCGAACATATTTATCGACTCCGAACTATCTCGCATGTCTAGTGACAGTAGCAGGTGAGCAGTGGCTAAACTGAAAGGTCCCAAACTGTATCAGACTCATAAAAAAATCGTTCAGCTGTAGCGCCTTTTCGGTGCCTAGCTGCCATGCCACCCGAAAAAAGCACGAGGGTTTGGATAATGCCAGGTTGCCCAAGCCTAGACAGGGGAAGTCAAGAGTCAGAGATCGGGTTCGAACCATGGACATTTCGGTCAGTAAATTCGCGCTCTAACCACTTGAGCTCTCTTGTCCCCAGTGGCATGGTCAGAACTGTCCTTGCTCCTGAGCCATGCCAAGAATGATGTTGAGGTGGTTAGTTAAAAAGCCTGGATTGACGATTTTAAGACTGGGTTTACAGGTTTACAGCAGAGAGTGTTGGTGATTAGCGAAGGCCCAAGAGATGAAGAAAGATTTTGCAATGGGTAACGATTGCACTTGTTCCCGCCAATCCGACCAACTGTTTGGGAGAACAGTGGGTTTAAGTGAAACAGTCTCCAAACATGATGAAATCCTAGTCCATTCAAAGAAATATCGTCTTCAGGAATGTGCTGGAGACTTTGAAGAACAGTTCAGCTGACTCTCTTTAACTCAACCTTTAGAATGACCAAATGAACCCGACTGGAACGTCGACAACAGTTCGCCATCGACAGCGAAAGTTCATCATCATCATTGTCAGCTGTAATAACCGCGTACTCGTCGTACAGTGGTTTTAGCTGCCGCAGTTTTGTTCACCGATGATTTGGGGGGAGGGGGAGGTAGCTGCGCACTGCAGGCGGGAGCTGATAAATTGGTGCATAAATCCAGCACTGTCAGTGGGCTGTCAAGTGGGGGGAGTTGGAAAAGGAGCTATGCATTGAAGGCAATAGCTTGGATGCACGACCGCCATTGAGGGCGCGACTGGGCCATATCTGACAATGTCTCTAGCCATTGGTGGGGCCCATCTCGGGGTCCCCATCCAGGGAGACGGCAGTGACCAGTACAGCTGAGTTTGCCGGTAGTGGCTCTCGGCGGGTAATTTTATCGCTTGAGTGCAACAAAGCACCTGGTCCAGACGGACGCATCTTGTAGTCCTCCGAAGTTGACCAGGCGATTATACGTGAGTATAAATGGAATAAGGAAAAAACACTAAATAAGTAATGCATCTTGAAGGTGAGAGAGAGAAAACAGGAACAATGTGCGAGAACCACGCGGGTTTCAGCCTGGTGGCTATAACTTCCAAGGTATTCTCTGGTATTATCCTACGAAGACTGATCCATCAGCAGGAGGGCCGGATGCACGAGAATTGTCCTTGGTTTCACCTTGGCCGGGATGTACCGAGTATATCATCATTTCGCGACAAGTTTTGGAATCGCGTCGCTCCTTCTATCAACAATATTCGTATTTCTTGATTTCAGATCCGCCTTTGACTCCGTTGATAGTTAGAAATTGCGGCAGTGTCTGGCGATGAAGCATGACCCTTCTGAATGCGTTTCTTGCAAAGGCCTTATACGTCTCCTTTCGTGGGCGTGTATATGTCAAATCCTCCCCTGGTTTCAAGCAGGATTAGTCTCTGTCGTCCTGTCTCCTTAGTTTCGTAGTTTCGCGCTGATTGAGTCTTCAGGATCCTCATTCAATACCTCAGGGATCTAAATACTACCAGCGTGTTCGCTCACGAACATTGAGTACACCGACGATACTGTTTTGCTTCCATCAGACCCTTAGAAATATAAACTATTCTAAATAACCCACATAATTCTGCTTCGCGGTTTTGCATGCACTTTGTACCGGTGGACTGTAAAGCGTTACTACACAACTGGATTGGATCAAACCTAAACGTCATGCTTGCGGGTGAACCGATCAATGTGAAGGATAATTTCGTTTGCCTGGGCAGCTACATAAGTCTCGGCGGACTGGCGAAAGACGAAATCATTTCCCGAATTGAGGAGACAAGAGTAGCGCTTGCTAAACTTCTACACTTGTGGCGCCGTGATATCACTGACTATTTCTAGTAGAGTATACAATGCCGCAGTCCGATCTGTCCTACTTAATGGACAAGAAGCTTGGTCGCTGCGAGACGAAGACCTCTGAAGGTATGACCGTTGGTGTTGTCGTAGCACCTCACAGGTCTGGTGGGAACATCACATCGGCAGTGGTGAGGTACGTCGGAAAGTTCTCGGGAAAATGCATTCTTCGTAGATGGATCAACTGGTCACGCCATGTAACTTGCATGCCACAGGACCTTTTGCCTCGTAGAGCCCTCTTCGCCCAGCCTTGGATCGGATGCAGACAACCTAGGAGCGATCAGTCAATGAACTGGCAACGAAACATAAGAGCCACTAACAGCCAACTCAGCCACGTTACTAAGTGCTGTCTTCCCAGACAGGGACCGCTGCATAGGACAAAGTAACCGTTAGTGACAATGACAGATATGGTTGTATCATGTAGCCAATGGGGTACTGCATTAAATCTATCGACTTTACTGCGTAGCTCCGGATCCCTGTCATAACTGACAAAGAAGAACGACCAAACGCCAATGAGCTGATTGGGCCATCTGATTCCCACTGTGTGCTATCATTAACACTGACTGCTGCGAACAAGCATTCCTCTAGCTGGAGCACAATGAACTTTAACAAGTAATTTACGGTGCTTCTTTGAGGTAGTTAGTTGTTGAGCATCCCAGCATCAAGATTCTACTAGAGCAAGCAATTCATTTCTCATAAGTAGCATGTGATTGATTACAGAGTGAGACTACGACTGGGTATAACCCTCAAAAGCCTAAAAAATATCTTTTTCACTTTCTTCTAGCTTAGTGAACAGTGAGCTGACGCGATCACTGACACCGGTGCTTATTTCGTCTAAATATGAACACACGCGCCTCAAAACTAAGGGGCAACGTTATCGCTACGCAAGGATGATGCTTTCTCTGTTGCGACCGAGTGCCCGGTTCAGAGAGAAGAGCAGAAAAATAAAATATGGTTTTGAACGACACGTGATAAGCATTCGACAGCCAGGAACCGACACTGATGGATATACTGAGGCTGTGCAAGGCTATCGTGGAAGACGATTTCGACTGCCTTCAAGCAGATGTGGGTAGGTGCCCCGCGACAACGGTATCCTACTTTTAAACTCATAAGTGGTGATTATCCTACCAGATGGGGTTATCCTGGTAAGATCATTCCGGTACTTCAAACTAAGCAGATAAATCGAAAGTGTCATTTGGACATTCTGACTTATGAACTGTCCTTACAACTGAGAGAGATGTACTGGAAATCATCAAACGTTCACCCTACCTAACTGGCCACCCTGAGTGTGATGGAAATGTGTCTGGTGAAAACAGTGCACGAATAGCATCGGTCACAAAGACTGTCCCTATCGGGCTACAGTATCCAGTGCATTTGTGGCTGCGAGATGCTATCCCTGTGGTGCAAATCATGAGGCGGCTTGAGGTTTCGACCCCTCGAATCTGAAGACGGTGAATGGGGTAGACTGATGTTGACCAAATCAGCTTTAACTGAGGCCTCGGTCCGCGGTAAGGTTGTTCACTTTCGTCTGAGGTTTGCAACCGCCTGATGGACTACTTACTGAAATGTGTACCCAAAACTAATTGCTTAAGGTAAAATTAACACTCGCATGAGTTTCAAATTTATTCTTGCTTATATACGGAGGTTAAATGTTATAGGCAATATCATCGGAGTATGGTGATAACGACAACTATTAATCCCGAACAATGATGAAAAACGCAGCCCATCCCTGATAACATATTTCACTGAGTGGATTTAGACTCATCGCCGTGAACAGCTCAACTTCCATACGACCAACATCGTGAAGGATGAAAAGCAGGAAGCAAAAACTTGTCGTGAAAAGAATCTAGAACAGAGGGTTAGCATGAAGATAACAAAAACTCCCAACGGCAATCGAATAAATGCACCTGGGCGTCATGTTGGAGTGAGACGCCAGCAACGGGTTTGACCCATCATGCTTTTCGAGCCTAATCTGACGCAAATCAAGGATACAACGACTCTAGCTTAATCCGGCTAGATTGTGACAGCATCCTTTTGTGTTATTTTCCGGGGATTTCTAGCCCTGTGCGTGGAGAGTAATCCAGACATAAATCAGGAGGCAGTGACGCAGGTGTTCAATTTGACAGCAGCCGTCTTTGGCATGTCCTTCACGGTTCCTTCCATATCCTTTCAACAATTTGAGTCTGACGTGGTAAGTACAGCCCCCTGATAACCAGTATTCGAGCACATGCGATACGCCTCCCACATATTCACTTTATATCGGCCACTTCTTGGGCGAGAGTGAATTTACCTTTCAGGTGTGGCATCGAGTCGCAAGTTTTGCATATCGCTGTAGCGACCATGAGCCATTACCTAGTACTCGCTCACAGACCACGTAACTAAGAATATACTGTCGCCAGCCAGCACCTGTGTTACAAAGTCATCGGTAAACAATAGCCTTCAGGCAGTTGTGGTTTTGGACTACATATCATCATCATCATCAACGACAGCATGACATCAGTGCTCAACACCAATGCTTCACTGCCGTACAGCCATGACTTATTTGAAAGCCTTATTGTAAAGAAAAGAATAAAGGTGGATGGGGGACCCGAAAAGGCCCGCGCATCACGTTCCAAGGTCATGGTGCAGTCATGGCTTATGCAACCACTAAAGCTCCCCACCCTGAAGTCTCAGATGGACAAAGAAGATACAATGGAAATCCTAAAGACTCTGCAACTTCGAGAATGCAAACACAAGCCAAAACAAGGGATCACAGCTGAATCGCCAGTGACAGTACGATAAGTGGACACATGGTCCTTAAATGACAACACAACAGTGGCATCCGCACAATCCACGTCCACGAGTTTCACACCGATCGCAAATTTGATAACTAGACTTATATTCCCCCCAAAACGCACTCCATAATGGTGACAGCGACAAAAGTGAAGGCGAGACCCTAATGAACCTAGCTATTTGTGATGGAGCGTTGCATTAACTCGCTGTATACCGTAAAGCGAGTAGAACTGTAGCAAAGAACGGTACAGAAAATGTTTACAAAACCTATGGTTGAGTTAACACTCAAGTCCGCTAAATTACCGTCGCTCCGCCAACAAAAAAACCGTACTTCTCAAGGTTCACTAATTTAAAAACACGCGCATCACGTTCCAAGGTCATGGTGCAGTCATGGCTTATGCAACCACTAAAGCTCCCCACCCTGAAGTTTCAGATGGACAGAGAAGATACAATGGAAATCCTAAAGACTCTGCAACTTCGAGAATGCAAAACACAAGCCAAAACAGCTAGGCACCGGTGCTACGCTACAGCTGAACGATTAATTCAAATGTATTAACATACCCCAAAATGTGGGTAGAAGATGCGCGCGATGTCGAGTCCAGGAGCATGAACTGTGATTGGTTCGGCCTCAAGACAGCAAAGTATCAGTGTTGAACTATTCACAAGCCAAGATGCCATCTATCTTAGTCACCCTTTGTATTCGTGATATTTTGAGCACACTTTCGCTGTCACTTATGGCTTTCTTAAAGAAATCTCTGATCATGGCTTCTCCACCTCTGCGGCGGCGTATTTGGGACTTCGTTCATACCTCACTGCTACTAATCGTCCTTTGTTGGTAGCCATTCGGAACTTCCATGAACCCGACCCATCCTGCCCCAAACTGGTTAGGCTGAATTGAAATAAAAGCAACACACCACAAAAAATACGGATATTTGGGGCCAGAGGATTTTCGCTCAGAGTAACTTGAGCAAAATCGCTGTGATCTCAATCACGATGCATGCCTGCTAATTCGACCGGAACCGAACGAGATCGGTAGCGATCACTGTGTTGAATCTACACAGGAAAAGTACTAATAAGTTGAACTTGCAACTAACTGCATGCAACGCGACACTCATTCCGGGCCCTCTTCGATGGCAAAAGCGTTAACAGCAAGCGTGGCAATTTCACGGGCTGGTAAACCAGCACACGTTGGGTTGATAACGAATATGAACTGCATGAACTGCATGAAGGTTGTAGAAGTGGTGTGGTGCAACGGTTGGTTAGATGCACATGCAACGCTTACGAGTCAATAGTACATTTGCCATCTGTTCAAAAACCCTGGAGTCTTGAATGGATTCACACTAAGTGCTCTGGCTCGATGTGATGCCTTTCTGTCTGTTCATATCGCTCCCACTGTTCTACCATCCGGTTCAATATTATCCCAAAGTGACCGGTAAGCTACCCGACTAATGAGTCCTTCAGCCCAAACGTCAGAGGACATTTCACATGCCCGATAGAAACTGAAGGAACGGCGTGGGAGAAGCGACACCCATGTGTTTACTAAACTAAAGACCAGAATCCTTCTCGAATGTGAGCATTAGGTCCGATCCAGCTCGGTTGGATGCGGGAAAAATTAGGTTCTGCCACAAGAAATCACAGCAGTCGGATTGCGATTAGTGGTAGGTCTTCAGTGCTTAGGTTAGTGAGCTTTCTAAACATCCGTGGAAGGTATAAGTAAATGAAAATGGGGAAATTTTACAATCCACCAGGTTATCAAAAAACGTCCTCGAAGAAACAAGACAAAAATCTTGCGTAGACCTTACCGTGACTTTCTATTTCACAGGCAACAAGGCCCGGTGATGGTGTTATTCGTCGTCCGATGTCCAGTTGACTGGCTAAAGAATGATGTCCTGTATGTCGCAACGCATTGATTAACAATGCAAACCCAGTGGTGGAAACTGGATTTGATGGATGAAGGGCACCACATGTTAAGTGATCGCCAATCAAGGGTACCCCTAACGATACAAGTAACATGCCCTTTCTATCCGTAGGTCTGGCTAGCAAGATCTGCTGACTAGTTTCTTCAGAAATAGCCCCATGTCTAACCAAATAGTCTAACAGGGAAGTGTCCACGTCAATGCCGTCAAATTGGTCGAATGAGTTTGAATCGGTGTAGAGACGTGATATCCGCTTCGCCTTTCTCAAAAAGTAGTCGGTGTCATGCTTGGGGTCGCGAGATATGGGGCTAGGGATGACAGTCGCAGCTTCCGTGACAGAACACGAAGATGGTTCGTAATGCGGTGTACTGACAAATATGGGTCGTTCGGAGGCAGGCGGTTGGTATTCGTTGTTTCGTCGAGCAAGATTTGTTGGCTTTTTTAACGTTTCATAAGCTGGGGCTTCGTGAGAGAATCCATTTGACACACCTAAAGTGTTTGTTTCACTGAGAACGACGTCAGGGATGTAAAATTGAGACTCCTGGTGTTTCTGTGGTATCAGCGGTAATTCCAGCATAATCAAGCAGGTTGTGAATATGAAAAGGCTATATGTTGATCTGAACAGCGTATATATGTGTTTCAACACAACCGTTTTGTCTCGAAAATACCAGGAAGTCGACCATTGAGAGAAACACAACCCTCGCGAGAACAAGCGCTCCCAGCTGACCAAATTCGAAACTGCGCTTCTGGTTAACGGACCGCCACTGATCCGTTCAAACAACATGCTGGCCACCACTATTTATTTCGTTCCATTCGAAGGTGTGAGGAAAATACAGTCACCCCGCTACTCATCGTACATGGAAAAGATGCAGCTTTCACTCACTGGGGTTGAAACCATGATCGAAATCGCAACCAGGGCTTCCACTTTTAAATGGCGTTCAGTATTCACACAAGGGAATTGAATTTTCGAAAGCCTTCCCTGAAGGAAGGCAATCAAGCAATTGAGTTCAGAGTACCAGTCTAAACGTTTTAGACCCCTTATATCGAAGTCCCTGAAGGAAGGCAATCAAGCAATTGAGTTCAGAGTACCAGTCTAAACGTTTTAGACCCCTTTAGGCATATCGAAGTCTATGCTATGCTGGAAAACTATTCCACCAGACTATTCCGCCAGAGCTACTACCGCTCCAATGGACAATGAAATTTGCTGTGCTGCAAAAATATTAATGTAGATTGAAATGGATTTTGGTTAGAGCACATACACAACTAAATTCAAAATTTAAGCAGGAAAAGTTCCGCTCCATCCGTAAAGGTCTTGCAGCAAATAACATTGTGCCGCTAATGTTCACAGATACAGGATCGAAGGTTTCTCCCAAGTTTCCCTGGTCCGCTTTGTTCTTGCCGTTCAGCGGCTGCCGTTCACCTGAAAGGCACAAGCGAGGAATAAAGTAGCACTGCTTTTTGAGTTCTCAGCGTGGGATCGGCGCAATGATTTGTATAAGAAAAATATCTAATGATGCTCTGAACTGGAGATTAGAGGCATTTTGGCCAACAATTGGAGGATGGTTATTCCACGCAGCAAATGCTCTAAACAGAAAAAACAATATGGCTGCACGCTCTGAGCTTGAAAATCTTCCCACCATGTCCAAGTCGTGTGTTAGCTGCATCAACGATAAAAGGTATGTTGACCAAACCTTGTTCAAACATGGCATTAGTAGGAATTTGGTCCCCCTCGGAGTCCTCGATACTCCAGAGGAAAGCTGTCAAGTACCACGAGATGCGTTTCGTAGTCCACGAATTTGAGGCCGGCAACCACTTTCACAGCGTCTCTCTGGACACGCCCAACGAGGGTTGACCTCTTCTTGTGTCATTAGTAGACAACTTGGTTGGCATATTCAAGGAGCGGTCTGACGTAGGCACCATAGAGTATTTGGAGGTCACAGGAGTAAGACGAAAGAGGGAACGCCGAATAACTTGTAGAACGGCGCATGCCTTCTGAGCCGATTTCTCGCAGTGAGAAGGACACGTTTGATGTGAGTCAGATGCCAAAACTCTTTTCTGCATCCATTCTCGTGGTGGTTTCTGGTCTATTCTCACCATGCACGACAAAGACATTCGCTGTGTCCCCTCCAAATGATATATGGGCGTACTTTCCGTCATCCAGAGGAAGGTGCCAGTCCAATGATCACTGCTTCGCAGCTTCTACATCCACTTGGAGAACACTGGGATTCGAACTCCAGGATTTCAAGTCGTCCGTTAAAAGTGGCCATGGACGAGGGAGTACGTCCAGAAGTCTCTGAGGTAGATCAGAAACACTAGTGGCGCCGAACCAGAGCCTTGAGGAACCGCAATGGAGGATGATGCTAAAGAAGTAGAGGAAGTAGCAGAAGCTTACTTCTGCTAGGAATTCCTCGTGTGAGACGAACGCCTCAATACATTGTAGAATTTTTCCCTAAATCCCATCAGACTCATTTAATGGAGCTTCGCGTAGTGTGGGATTCGGTCGCATGCTTTTGGGAAGTCAAATACATGGCATCCGACACCAGTCCCTCGTCCCTAGCTTGGATTAAGCCGATCACAGATAACAGGATGTTCGTCAAGCGGGAACGGTTTGGGAGGAATCCGTGTTGCACTGGGGATGCCAAGTTGTTGGCAGTAAGGTTACCCAGGGTAACCCGCTTCAGAATGCGCTACATCACCCTTCACGGTACGTTAGTGAAGCTGATCAGCATGCAGCCGCTGGGCGATATTCGCTTTGCTCCGGTTCTCTGCCGTGTATATTAGTGCATGACTCTGTGTTTTGCGAATCTTCTTCCATCCCCTCACCTTCCCAAGCTTTGAACTTCGGAAGTGCCCGCTTTGGACGACCCGGTTAGCTGATCTCCACTCCACCTGGCCTATGATCTACAACTCCGGGATCACCAAGCGGACCAAGAAAACCTACAATCCCATATCGGTTTCGTTCCAGCTTGTTTCCTCGAACAGGCTGAAATGAATACCGTTGCTCAATAAACTGCACACCCCAGCCGAATCATCTCAAATGTGACGTCCGTCACGGGCTGTCCAAAAACTGAAGCATGTCAGGCCAATGATGGCACGGCACTGCCATACTCAGTTTGATAGCACACCCGCAACTGTTCCATTCCTCCTCCTAACCGAGCCCTCTTGCGTACTTTTTTCATTGACCTCAACTGCCAACATGACTTCATTTCAACCTGTTGGACTACTCGTTCGAATTCAACCACCTCTGTATCCCCATCCAACCAACCCCTGGTTTTCCAGTTTTGGTTCATATCAGCCAACTAGGTCTTTGAAATAGTCGGACCTCATGCCTATTGTTCCCTACAAGTTGCAAAAGAAACATATTATTATTATTTAATCGAGTACTTCCCACTGTTTATGACATTGCCCCCTTTTCGCGCAATCCCTACTACCCGCAAATCCCCCTGTCATACCCCAGCCTGACTGTAAACGCATGATCATGCCAGATGGTATGCCACCCACAAGTTGGGAATATACATTATTATTATAAGGCAGGTTCCGTTCGTCGAGTAACTGAGGGAACGCCAGGTAGCAATGCTTATCCGGTGTGAACGACCTTCCTACAAGAAACTTGGATCGGTCTCGTCGGGCCCCAACGTGCAGAATGGGTTTGTCTTGTGCAAGAGTTGACGAATGTCATCCTCCGTATAGGCTAAGTTGGTTGGAGGCCGTTTTTAGTTACGCTTTTGAAATTATCTGGTGTGACGAGTTCACTGGCGCGTAGCGCAGTTCTCTATTGTGTTATCTGAAGACTTCAACTACCACTAGCTGGTATAGTCGTGAGCTCCCCGATCCTATCCCTCAAAGAGAACGCGGATGGCTGATTTAAAGAGCGATTCTTCATGTATTTGAACAGAACATTTCTGTTTTTTCCGGCGCGGTCCAGAATGGCGGGTTGTTTTCTACGTTCAGTCGGCGGATATCTGATGTACAGCGATCCCACATTCCAGGAAATGCCAGTTCATCTACTGTGTCCCCTGTGGTCAACTTCTTTCAAAATTGTTAAGAATTCTGTTCCAGAAGACGCGTACTGGTTCCTTCTGAATGAACAGTGTGTCGACCTCGGGATGGCTGTCATTTGGCTTGCGTGGTATCTGGTGAGTGTGAAAACATTTCGGGTCCAAGTGCTCTTTCGAACGGTTTTTGTCGGCGCCGCTGCAAAATGTCCACTAGACCCGACGCGTTGGAACTCCGTCCAGGAGGCCTTGGGAGCGTTTAAGTAACCTATCAACGAAAGTTATGTAAAGGGGTGGCTGCGGGAGAGCTGCTCAATGGTTTGTATGAGGACTTCCAGAGGACACGAGGGTCAATGGTATACTATGCCGATAAAAAGTGAGTCGGTCCCGTTCAGTGAAGTTTTGATTCACAGTGGACTGCAAAAAGGTGCAGGAGTGGTATCCGGGAGGACAATCGGGATGGGCATGGCCGCATTCAAACATAAGGCAACCTCACCGGCTCTCCCTCGTTTTGAGTCAGCTCAAAAAATAGAGTAAACGTCCATCAAGGTCACCGCGTTTGAGACATCTGATGTAAGCCAGGTTTCTGTAAGTGTGACATGAACGCCTATTTAAGGTAATCTGACTGTTTACTGTCGCAAAGGTTTCTCAACAGACTGAAGTAGCTTGTGGACAATGGGTGCAGCACCTTCTGTTGCTCCCGAAGCTAGAGAGTTGCGAGGTGTGCTGACAGAGAGGTTAGCATATTTAATGGCTGTACGCTGGCTTTGAGCCCAGGGCTCCGAATGGACCTATGCCGCACACTCGTCTGCTTCCTGCTTGGTTTTGAGGGCTGCCTTTTATTTGCAATTTTTTCGCCCAGTGGTTTGCGCTTACGGGACGTATTTTCCTTCCTCGAGAAAGAAATCGGCTCCTGATGCTTAAAGCTTGTTAAATATTGCCTTTTAGAAGATAATGTTTGTTGTTGTTCGTGGATTTAGAGTTAAAATGCTTCTGTTGGGTTTCTTCGGAATTTAGGAGCTGTTTGTTGCTTAAGGTGTCGATGTGAGACCCCATGCTATTGGTGGCAGCACCGATTGGCATCCCCTTTGGTGACGCTCCTACGAGGCTCGCGTTCGCGGAGGGATCATGGGCCAAGACCTCGTCTGCAATCGGGGAGACCATTTTTGACGGAGGGGAGCTGAAGCTCGGCAGTTTCACGCTCTCAGTGACTGTATGCTCTTCACAGCCGCCCTCGATGTCAAGGTTGTCTTGCCATTAGCCTTCGCCGCAAGTCTCCTCAGTCCATCCATCCCAACACACCTCAGAAGCTGTGACTAGAGTGTGGGGTTTACAGCTGCCCTTTATAGGCTATGATGGCTCCACGTCCATACGAGACTTGCCTCTTCCCAAGCATCGCTGTCTTTGGTAGTTGAGGGATCTGAGGTGGCTGAGTAACAGTCGAAAATGGAATCGCGGCTGGTTGCATCTGTCCATAAGTTTGGAGATGACTGAACTTAAACCAAGCGGGGGCCTCGTTCGCGCCTATTTTCTGGGACTTCTCCGGCCTAGCTTTCACGCCTCTAGAGGGCGATCCTCGGATATACGCTTGATCGTTGAGTAAGCTTCTGAATGCTAACAGCTTGCTCCAGGATTTTCTCTACGGCAGATTGGGAGTGAAAAGTGAAGAAAGACTCAAATGTTCGCCTTCTGTTCTTTCCGCTTCACCGCTCTAGTTGATGCGATTCGTGTTCAGGCTTTGTGGGGACGCCATGTTCTCTACAACTTCAACTTACGTATCAAGCGTTGCAGCTGCAGTCCATCTATATGTGGCTGTTGTGGCTTCAAAACCAGGAACAGAGTTATATTATGCCTTGGTCGGATACATCCGTTTAGTCATCACTACTGAACAAGGTCACCTACCAAATGATTGCGTGATGTAACCTACGTGGGGGGAACAAGTGGCCTGAAAATACCGAAAACAGGTATGCGCAAGGTGGATGCATAAACAACAGAAGTTGCACGTACAGGCGCTAGCCGGGGTATTAAGAGGCCAGGCTTTACGGCTACTAAGAAAACATCTCATATTGAGGCGGTCGATATGACGGTAATTTATCCCCGGTGTGCTTTTCAACGTACCTGATGACCTGGTTGGCTCCATTGGTCATCATGCAATAGACCACTCAAAGACAGTGGCTTTGTCCCACCGGAAATTCTCGCCATTAATAGCGGCCACTGGTGTACAACTCGCATTCGTATGGGAGCCACTCGCTTTGCCGAGATACATTCCGGACTGAATGTTCCGGGCCATCGGTGTACTACACTTTTTCATACGCCCGTCTAAGTTCTGAAGACAGTTGGCTGCCACATTTTCAAGGTGAACCAATCCTCACTGCACATGAATAGCCCACATGTGAGCAACTTGCAGGAGTGCACACTAAGATACGAGATAAAGCCAGGGTCGGTTCTGTCAGAATTTCCAGATCATCATTGAGCACATGCCTACCCAACAATGGAGACAGGTGACTGAGGCGGCAGTTGTTAGCACACCCTGGAAGTACTGCCGCACTTCCGATGACGGATACCTGTACTTCGTCAGAGTCCTGCATAAGCGACAAAATCGATAAGTCGAGCAACGAGCACCGAAGAATAAATCCGAATTCAAAATGAAAGTGATCCCGACGAAAATGTGCTGTGCTGTATAACAAAATATCAATAAATCAATTAATG